TAAAATTATAATTTTCCACACAATAAAAAAAACATATAATCTCCATAACAAATTTTATAAATTTCATTCCACTCCCTACCCCTTGGTCACGTCTTACTTTAAATCTCTTTTTCTTCCTATTCTATTATTTTATTCTTCTCATCTTATTTTATATATCCCCCTTTACTCTCCTTCCCCACCTATCCAAGGTGGAGAAGCCTTCAGTTCCCTGCTTTCTTAATCCTCTTTTACACTCCAGTCAATTCTAGATATCTCGTGGATTTTTTAAACCCCAACCATCTATCCCAAATTTTTTTACATTTTAAACTCCACTCTAATTATCCAATCTTTAATATTCGGAGGATCCTGAACCTGCCAGTACCTAGGGATCAGTCCTTTCACTGCATTTATTAAATGAAATATCATTGTTTTCTTATATTGTTTTACCGTAAGGTCAGTATTATGAAATAAAAAGACCCAGGGATCCTTCAAAACACTGATCCCTGTTATCTCGTGTATTTGTTGCATTATTTCCTGCCAAAATTGCTGTATTTTGGGACACTCCCACCATATACGTGCCATTGATTCCTTTCCTTCCCACATCCCCTCTAGCATAACAGTAAATTTTCTGTTTGCTGATTATGTGCCACACTGGGTGTAAAAAAAACCACCTTGTTCGAGTATTTATAATTCGTTTCTACAGTGTTCATATCCACCGCCCCGTTCACCAGGTTAAATATTTTCTTTTTTTCTTGTTCATTTAATTTTGTTCCGAATTCCTTTTCCCACTTTTCCAAGAATGGTGGCAAGGCAGATCCAGATAAACCAGTAAGAATCTTATAAAGGCGAGAGGTAACATGCCTTTGCATTGTATCCGTACTAAAAAAAATTGTTCCAGTGGATACATGTCTTCTGCCGTCCTTAGAGGCTGTGGGAGTGCTGTAACAAAGTGTCTTAATTGATAATAATGCCACTCATCAAACCTAAAAAAAAAAAGTTCTTATTTTTAAATCTATAACAGTGCACAATTCCCCCTTCTTAGTGATATCTTTTAAACGCATGTTTCTATCTTTTATCCAATTCCCTGCAATATTCTCTTTCCCTGGAGGGAAGAGTTCTGTCCCCACCAACGGTATTAACAGTGAGCTGTATTCCCACCCCCTTTGTTTATGATTACTATCCCATATCCTAAAGACATTTCGTGTTAAAGTGCTTGTATTTTCAGAAAACAATTCCTAAACTGTTGAGGAAGCCATATAATCGTATCTATCTGTGACTCACTTTCCATCCTAACCCAGCTTTTTCCCTGTGAGTTGTAAATCCAATCTGCTATTCGTGAAATCAACACTGCCCAATAATATCTCCTAAAATCCAGCATGCTCAGGCCTCCGTTTATTTTGTCTTTGCACAATACCTCATAGTTCACTCTTGGTGTTTATTTGCCTATATATATTTAAGTATCATCTTTTTTATTGTCTCCAAGAATCACCTCGGTAAATTTATTGGGAGCATTTGAAATTTATACAGAATTTTAGGGACTATCACCATTTTTAACAAATTTATAGGACAAATCCAAGAGAGTTGTTACAATGGATATTCTCCTCAGATCATCCTTCAGCTCGTTTATCAATAGGATATAATTTTCTGATATATACTCTTTAAAGAAGGGGGTTAACTTAGATAACTCAATTCTTTTTCCCTCCATACAAAGGGAAAAGCTTCCTGTAATCTCTGTTTATCTTTGAAACATTGATATTTATTATCTCTGACTTCGAGGGATTAATTTTCAAATTTGATAAATCTCCATAGTATTTTAAAGTTTTCATTAAGTTTGGTAATGTTACTCTGGGATTTGTTATATAGAATAACATATCGTCCGCATACTCTGCTACCTTCTGTTCCTCATCTCCTATCAAAAAACCCTTTATTTCTATGTTCTTTTGTACAGTCGCTAATAGCAGTTCCAATGATATAATAAAAAGTAAGGGAGAGAGTGGACATCCCTGTCTAGTTACGTTGCACATTTTAAAGGGCTGTGTCAACAAGCCATTAATTTTGATCATTGCTGATGGAGAGTTATATAACGCTTTGATCCATTGTATCATTTTAGGTCCAATTTCCAATATTTCCAATGTATCAATCATAAATCCCCAGTCTACCCTATCAAAGGCTTTTTCTGCGTCAATCGATAACACAATTGCTGGGGAGTTCTCATTCTTGCTATATTGCAGAACAAGTAGTGATCTTATTCCGTTATCCCTTCCCTCCCTCCCTGGGATAAAACCCACTTGATCTAGATGAATCCATTCCGGCATCAGCTCTTTCATTCTATTTGCTATGACCTTTGTGTATAATTTTGTATCTATATTTAACAATGAGATAGGTCTGTAACTAGTGCAGTGGGATGAATCTTTCCCCTCCTTCAGTATAATTGTGATATGTGCCTGCAGTGACTCCTCTCTCATTTCCGCTTGTTCACCTAGTGCGTTCAGATACCTACACATTTTGGGCACAAGTTGATCTTTGAATTTCCTAGAATATCTCAACGTGCATCCATCTGGTCCAGGGCTCCTACCAGCCACTGTATTCTTTAGTGCTATATGAATTATAGGCCAAATAGCTCAATTTTGGTCTCATCTGACCAGAACACCTTCTTCCATATGTTTGCTGTGTCCCCCACATGGCTTCTCGCAAACTGTAAAGGGGACTTCTTATGGCTTTCTTTCAACAATGGCTTTCTTCTTGCCACTCTTCCATAAAGGCCAGATTTGTAGAGTGCATGACTGATCGTTCTCCTGTGGACAGATTCTCCCACCTGAGCTGTGGATCTCTGCAGCACCTTCAGAGGTACCATGGGCTGCTTCTCTGATTAATGCTCTCCTTACGCGTCCTGTCAGTTTAGGGGGACGGCCATGTCTTTGAAGGTTTGCAGTTGTGCCATACTCTTTCCATTTTCGGATGATGGATTGAACAGTGCTCCGTGAGATGTTTTAAGCTTGGGATTTTTTTTCATAAGCTAACTCCTTTTAATTTCTCCACAACTTTATCCCTGATCTGTCTTGCTTGAACTCTTGCAGTGAATAAAACATTTTGTAAAGAACTCTACTAAGGGCCTTCGTGTAGATTGAGCTTTCCTGCCTGCGATTCACATGCGGTTTTTCTGCATGTCACACATAGGGCAGCCTATTCGCTGCAATGGGCTGTCCCATGCATGTTTTTCACCCAAAAGAAGCTCCTGCTCCTTTTTTGGACAAAAAGCTTAGCATGAATTTTAAATGCATGATTTGCTGTGTGGCAAACACAGCAGAACTGTACCTCGTTTGGGGTGCCATTAAGAATAACGTGTTGCACATTTAGCTGCAAATTGGAATCTCAGGCAGAAACATGGCAGTTCCCCTCGTGATTCCTGATGCCAAGTATGCCAGTTTTTCCATGTCAAAGTTTTTTTTCATGACAAAAGATAACTCTCTGGTATTGCTTAGGCACAATTTACATTTCTAGGTGTTCCCTATAACATATCAAATCTTCTCCTTATTTGTTTGGGTCCAATATACATGAACAATAAATTTAGACCTTAACTCAGAAAGTGAAAATTTGCTATATTTAAAAAAAAATAAAAAATTGAAGACTGTAATTGTGCCTAAGCATTACTATCAAAAATGCATGTTTTTCGTGGAATCCTTCCTGGTATATGAGAGTGTAGAGGTGGTCTTGTACCTAAAACTTTGAATCTGTATATGTGAGTGGAATTAAGGCACTGCTTCCTCTGACTGCCAGGCTTAGAAGATTTGGTGATATCGCTACTGTACTTCTCACTGCTGTTCTTGCTGATGGCTCTGACATGAGGAAGCAAAAATCTTGTGTATAGCACACAAGGCTACCTCCACACAGGGACGATGCAGAGGAAGGCGTGGTAAGTCAGTAATGTGGAAAAGATCAGCTGCAGGGACCACCCAGGCAGGGAGGATTTGATTTAAATCAAGTTGATTTAAATCATTATTGAAAAGATTTGATTTAAATCATAATTTTTAAAGAGCAACTGTCATCTCTATCCCGCAGTTGCTCCTCTAACCTGTTGTTGACTCACTGACAGTCCGATTCACTTTAATGGGACGGCTGGTGATGCGGCAGTGACACAACAAGGTGAGGGATGTAGCGGCAGCAGGTGAGTGGATGCCCAATAACAGGCACTGCCATTATGGATCTAAAATTACAGGTGCTCATTGAATGTAAGGAATTTGACTCATTCTTGATGGTAGTTAAAATCTTTAATATTTGCAAACCAAATTAAGGTTTCCTCTTTAGAATAATAAGCTGTCAGGTTAGTAAAACAGCGATATCAGAACCAATTTTAGACTAATAGGTTAATCACACATAGTTGAACTACTCAAATTCTTTTATTTCATGTTTTTTCTCATAGTTACTGTGAAATTGTGTGATTGCATCAATGCAGTGCATGTTATCTCAGCTTTCAGAGCTTGGATTCATTGAATGAGTTTACCAAAAATGTAAATATTGCAGAATATACAGCCTCATGCTACATAACTAAGCTCCATTTCATATAATAATAAAGTAAATTAATAATGTATCTTAAATATAACACTAGCTTTACTCCAAAAGCATTTTATTAAAATAAATTTGATTAAAATAAAAAATCTGATTTAACCACTTGCCTACAGGGCACTTATACCCCCTTCCTGCCCAGGCCAATTTTCAGCTTTCAGTGCTATCGCATTTTGAACGACAATTGCACGGTCATGCAACACTGTGCCCATGTGAAATTTTTATCATTTTTTTTAGACAGAGCTTTCTTTTGGTGGTATTTAATCACCTCTGGGTTTTTTATTTTTTACTAAACAAACCAAAAACAACTGAAAATTTTGAATAAAAAAAACATTTTTTCTTAGTTTCTGTTATAAAATTTTGTAAATAAGTGATTGTTCTCCTTCACTGATGTGCACTAATGAGGCTGCAGTGATGGGCACTGATAGGCTGCACTGATGGGCACTGATGAGGAGGCACTGATGGGCATTGATAGGCATCACTGATGGGCACTGAAAGGCAGCACTCATATGGCACTGACTGGCACTGATAAGTGGCGCTGACTGGCAGCACTGATAGCTGGCACTGAAAGGCAGCTCAGATGCACACTGATATGTGGCATTGATGTGCACTGGTAGGCACTATATGTGGCATTGATGGGCACTGGCAAGTGGCACTGATGGGGCTACACTGATCATCAGGGCACACTGATCATCAGTGCCCTGATGATCGGTGTACATGTCCCCTCTGAGTAATGCCGTGACAGCTCGTGAGGAGAGGAATGCCAATAACCGGCATTTCCTTATTTACATGCAATCAGCTGTGATTGGACACAGCTGATCACATGACAGAGCTGACGTCTTCGGCTCTTTCCGTTGATCGGTGATCCGCTGTGTCTCAGGGACACAGCGCATCACCGATCTCCGCACTACGGGCCCCCGGGGGGCGCACGCGTGGTTAGAGTGGGGGGTGTCGTTACATCCTCCCAGAATGAGAGAACCGCCTTGCACCCATCATTATATGGCGGGCGGGAGGCGGTTAAATAAAATTAAAATTTTAAAAATCTGTTTTTTTTTTTTTTTTAAATTAAATCATCGATTTTTATCCACCCTGCACTCGGGCAATATTGGTGAATAGTCCTTTGCTCTCGGCTGCCTTTTTTTGGCCACTGCTTCAGTTCCTCTTTTACCCTAAATCTAATTCTGAAATGTAACCTAACCTTAAAGCCGAGGTCCAGTCTCCTGTAAAAAGAAAAGAAAGAAAGAAAAGTCAGCAGCTACAAAAACAGCCACTCACCTGTCCCACGAGCCAGCGGTGTACTCACCCCAGCCAGGTTCACCGGCCATTCTTTGGAGACAATTCACTAAAGGTTATCACGTGACCACATATCGCATGTGATCCTGAAAATGTCAATTCACTATTGACAGCATGCGATATTTACCGCAGATAGCAAAAACGGTCGGTAAATAACGCATAAAAAGACCAATTCACACAAGGAAATGAATAATTAAATGTGTGGAATAATTTAAGTAGTGATCGCGGCATGCGTTATGTACTGGTTGTTAAGGAGTGGGCGTCCACCCTGTCCTTAATAACCAGTAACTGTCAAACCCTTAGTTCCTGCCCGCCCCTATGTGAGTGAGTATGGGGTACACGGATGGTACCCCTAGTCATTCACCAAAAAAAAAGTGTGTAAAAAAACACAGGAGACAGTCCTTTATTTAAAAAAAAAAAAACATATAAAAAAGTCCCTCAGTGTAGATTCATCGTCCATCATGATGCCCGCAGCAACTGCCAACCCGGAAAAAAAAAAAAAGGCTTCGCTCTCTAGGAAGGATCCTGTCGCCTGACCATTCTTAAATAACTAAAGGGCGAGGCCACCCAGTGCTGTCTTTGGGTGACCCCACCCCTGGTCACATCATTGACCCAGCATGCCCCAGTTGATGTCACATAGGGGTCACTCAGGGACCCACCAACCAGGGTTGTGGGGAAGAGGCCCTTGTCCCTAAGTCAGTATTGGGACAAGGTGCTTTGGCAGGAATGGGGGGCTTGGGGTGGCTCGGGATTAAGCACACAGGTGTGCCACAGTGGGAAGTGGCTTCCTATGGTGGCGCACCAAAAAGAGGGGGAGCCAGGAGAGCTGGAAGGGGACCCGAGAAGAAGAGGATAGTGGCTACTCTATGCAAAACCATTGCTCAGAGTAGGTAAGTATGACGTTTGTTATTTAAAAAAACCCACAAGCCATACAATCACTATAACCTCTAAAACAAAGTGAACCCCTCAAAATCTGTTCTTTGCTTCTTCCCTAAAGTATTGGGCCATTCTGTGTAGGGATTGTTTCTGAAAGTACCCAGACAGCATGCACCAAGAGCAAGCAGGATTGGATCAAAATGGAATGAATTAAGCAATAGCTCCAGTGCAAATTTCAAAAAAAGTGATCAGCAACAAAGCTGATCCCTCTTTTTTTTTATTTTTGAAAATTCCTCCCTTTGTCTTTAACCACTTTCCATCCACACTATAGCCGAATGACAGCTACAGCGTGGTTGTCGAGTTCTGGGAGGGCATCATATGACATCCTCCCAGAACGCGCACCTCCGGCGATCTCCGTAATCGCTGTGTCCTACGGACACAGCTGATCACGTGATGTGGTAAAAGCCCAATCACAGCAGCCTTTTACCACGTGATCAATGTCAATGCACATGATCCAATGACACAGCAGATCACCAGTAACTGCAGTTGCCGGTTATCGGCTGCACTTTCCTCGCGCTGTCACTTCGTGAGGAAAGTACTGCCGATAACTGGCAATTGTCAGAGGACAGATCGGCACTGATCAGTGCCTAGTAGTGCCACCCACCTGTGCCCAGCAGTGCCACCCAGCAGTGCTGTCAGTCAGTGCCCATCATTGTTGCCATCAGTGTTTGCATCATCAGTGCCGCTTATCCGTTCTCATCAGTGCTGCCTATCGGTGGTGCCTATCAGTGCAGCCTCATCAACGCACATCAGTGAAGGAGAAAAATTACCTGTTTGCAAAATTTTATAATGGAAACAAAGAAAAAATTTATTTTCCAATTTTTTGCTCTTTTTTTGTTTATAGCGCAAAAAATAAAACTTTCAGCGGCAATTAAATACCACCAAAAGAAAGCTCTATTTGTGAGGAAAAAAATTATAAACATTTCCTATGCATGGCTGTGCAATTGTCATTCAGAGTGCGACAGCGCTGAAAGCTGAAAATTGGCCTGGGCATGAATGGGGGTATCAGTTCCCGGTAGGCAAGTGGTTAAAGGTCTGTCCATATGCAGAAATTTATTACATGTGCTTTCACCTTTTTTTTTTTCTCATGAACTGACATGGTATAAGGCTCAATTTATAACAATTAGCAAAAAAAAAAAAAAAAATTGAAAAACTATAGGGGTAGGATAAAGTTTGGGGGAGGGGGATGTAGGGTTGGAATGAAGTGGGATTTGCCCTAAACATCCTTTCAGACCTTTATCCAGGCATGCAGCCTGGGTGGCCATGAAAGGGAGGGTCGCAAGCGGTTCCCCCCTGAAAGCTCCCTTATAATAAGGGGGCTCCCAGGGGGAATGAGTAAATGGGTACATCAACCCCCTAAAAATTGAAAGGTAAATAAACACACAAGTTTAAATAGTCATTTAACAATCTTGGAGAAAAAAAATTGTCTCATTGTTTAAACCCATTTAAATGGCAGTGTGTACAGATGCAATGTCTCGCCAGTCATGAAAAACACACTGCCCAACGATGTTTCCTTCTCCCCACTCCCATCACAAATGACAGATACCCTGACACTGTGATAAAGTACACACAGCATAGGAGATCCTGTAGTGGAGTGATGTCATTGACCAAATGTGGTCAATGAACATTTATGGTCAATGGTGTCACCCCAGATACCTGAATGTTTCTTTGCGGCACTCAATGATTGGAGCGGGCGAACTGGCCGATTAAGGGCCAATTTGCTCGATAAACATGCTTGGTTCAGGTCACATTCTTGTTCAATCTGAATCTCATCCTTCTTTACTACCTACATTATGCTGATAAATCACACAGCTCCACAGATGGTGCAGTAGCAGAACAACAAAAACTGTCATAATTAATTCCGAAAACCCCAACCTCTCCGGTTCATATTTGTTTAGCTGTAGCCACACACAGGTCCAGTTATTACAATTTCTGCAGATTTGCCTGACAGTTCAAAGCATCACCATAAAAAAAAACATTTTTTTCACAGGCTTCGAGTTGATGTAGATATGTTTTTACAATTAAAAGATTGTGTGCTAGCATTTGCTTATTACTTGATGGGGTCAAATAATATACTTTTTGTTTTCATTTCCATGCGCAACAGATGGATGTAAAAGCAGGCAGAGCAAACTTAACAGCATAGCTGTTTGAGTTATTAATCTTCAGATATGCTACATTCTGTCACCTCTTGCTGCCAGGTTTGTTCGAGCCCTTTTATTGTAGCATATGTCAACAGAGACGCACTCCCATCTGCTGCAGATAGTTTGCTGCCTGCAATGCACAGATGAGGGCACAGTACAATACCTAGCTGTGTTAGTAATTACAGGTGTGTTGTGGGGAGCCCTCTGCTTTAATCAGCCCCTTAATTATGAAAAAAGGTGGGTCTTTTGTTCTGTCTCGCACAGCCCCGGCACACTTTTTATGAGGCCCAGCATCCATCTGCTCACTCTCAGAATGTTTACTTTGACTGATATTGACTTAAAAATGTATCAAAGGAAGTGATTAAAACCAGTTTACACATTAACCTGAAAGAAGCATTTAGACCAGTTTGTTTGTCCAGTGAAAACACAATCTGTCGACATGTCAGAAATAAGATTGTGCATTTCATCTCTGCAGGAGGTGGGGACGTGGATGTCGCCTGCAGAGAGATACACCTTTGGTGGCTATAAATGCACTGTGGCCCTTCTTTTTTTTTTTTCAATGTTGAAAAGCAGAATAGCGAATCTACATGAGTAACCAGAGCTAATGAGATCCCAGCAACGTAGCCATCAAATACCACAAGGTCCCATAAGAATGTCTGCAGCTGCAGGGCTGCTGGTGCCTAGCTGTGGTAAACACAAAAAATATAGGAATAAACAGAATAAACTCAGTTACCTTAGTGTTCCAAAGGGAACAAAATGTTCGGTTGTATCAGTGTTCGCTTACAGTGCTTGTTTTCTTTACAGAAAAGAGTATTTATACAACTATCTTTCAGATAATGTCTTAGTTTTTGTCATTGAAAATTTTAGACTTTCCATTTGACTACTGTAGGCATACTGGGGTTACTTGCATCACCACTTTAGTGGCATTTAAAGGACATCTAAACCCAAAAACAAAAAAGCGATATGTCACAGGTAAATGTGGTGGCGACATTAGTTTTCTTCTTTTTTTTTTTTTCTCAGGTTAAGAACATTTTCTAAAAGTACAGAATATACCTGTTGATCTTCACTTCACGTTTGCTAAATTGAAAACACTGTTTTATACTGGTCATGCACATAATCTAAAGCTGACCACAAATGGATTGAAATGCTGAACTGGCCGAGATTCGATCCTTCAGCCTATGGGCACGCTGATTCAATGTATGGGCAGTGAATCCATTGATCGACTTGGGTACAACCAGCCTGTCAGGTTTTTCTACATGCGAATGCTGCCAGCAGCCGTAGTCACTAGCAGTAATCGTGTTCTGCTGGCCTGGAAGGCTCCCCATGCCCCCCCCCCTGCCGGCAATAGCGCTGTGGGAGGCATTTCCCCACTAACTCACCCATGGTCATATCGGAGCGGTTATATTGATGCGGTTCCAACACGGTCGGAGCCACACCGATTTCTAAAGTAGTGCATGTACTACTTTTGGTGCGATT